GCCAGGCTCTATGAGAGAGCTTGCAGACTCCAAACCTTTGAGGGCAAGAGAGGAAGCAGAGAAGTAAACCGGCGCAGGCGTTAAGGGGTGGTCAGGGGCGGAGACTGTGGCTACGGGGGATCAGGTGTCTTGTCTGTAGGTTCGACCATTTCTCAGCTCCAGGCAATTGCTGCCCTATGGGGGTGAAGGGGCAGGTCAGTTCTCATCCAACTTGTACAGAGAGGCCGGAAATCCAGATGTACAGACTGTTTAAACCTTGGTTCAGGCCCCAATAAGCCCATGTACAGGGCAGAGACGGCATAGAAGCAATCAGTTTGTTTCTTCTGTAATATGCTGACGTGGCACCTCCAGTCACCAGCTTGCTTTCTCCAGTGCTTGAAAACACGAAGGTGGGAAGGGAAAGGACACTGAAGGCTGGATGCTCAGTGTCCGCTCAGACACTGCTTCTAGAAAGATATAATTTCAGGAACCCATCCCTTCTCCTGGAGCAGTGGTTCTCGACTGTGGGGGATTTGGCCCCCAAGCAGAACCTATGGAAGTATCTGGAGACATGGGTGGTTTCACAAATGAGCAGGGGTTGCTATTGGCATCTGATGGGCAGAGCCCCACAGTCCCCACAACAAAGAACAACGCAACAACGTATGTCAGTAGTTCCGAGGTGGAGACAGTCTGGAGGGGAACAGTGGTCCTCAACTCTGTTACGTACAAAAACACTTGGTGGGGGGAGGGCTTTAAAAAGTTACTGATGCCTGGATCCTACCCCGCAACAAAGAAATCAGAGTTTCTAAGGATGAGGCTCAGGACTCAGATTTTAAAAGTTCTCGAACAATCCTAATATGCAGGCAGGCCTGAGATCCATGAGAGTAAACAATCAGCTTCCCGCATGCGTCCATCATGGATCCCCCAGCCCTCCACAGAACCAAGTCAGGGCTCTGCTCAAACAGGATATGCACAGATATGCATATCTATTGCCGGCATGGGGGACAGATTAGTGATCTATCATTAGTCTCCTACAAACTGCGGTGCTGGGCTTGGATTGACTTTCAACGTTCTACTGGTGGCTGATAAAAGTCTTTCTTTCTTTTTTTTTTTTTTTGTTTCTACTCAATTATTCAGTACATCAAAAAGCTACAACTTCCAGCAGTCAGTCAGCCTCATACCAACATGCTTTCCGTTGGAATAATTACTTCTGAGAGTGAAAGGTACAGAAACAATCTGGACAATATATTCATGCCAAAGGAAGCTTACGAAATTAACTCACAATCTTTTTTGTCACCTCCCCCACCCCGGTCATACGCAATGAGAAGAATTAGCGATTGTATATTAAACACAGTCCTGGAAACTTCCACTGCTCTCACTCAAGGAGATAGGAAGTAAGAAAATAAGAAAACAAAACCCAAACTAGGGCAGCAAGGCAAGTCTAATAGGAAACTACTAATGCTAACCAGATTCCCCTGTAACCAGAATTATTCGATTGGTGACTTATCCACATTTAACTGAGTTGTGGGCAATCTTCACAGGTTCTGAGGGAAGCTGTGTGTGGGTCGGGGATGAACAGGGACTGGAGCTTTAGTACTGAAATCTGCACCAGCCAACCCACCTGCCTGCCAATTGCTATTCAAGGGAGTATACAGTATTCTCACCCGTGGCTCCCTGGGGTCAGCACGTGGCCTCCAGCCAGGTGTTCAGGAAGCCTGGGGCCTTTATCCAGAGCCATGGTTGGCACTAGAAATGCAAGGGTCCAAAAGAGAACCCCGTCCCTGGACGCAGGAGCCTAGGGAGGCAGACCCAGGAGTCAATAAGCTGTTCGACTGGGGGTGGGAGGGTCAGACCTTGTCGGATGGAGCAGGTGCTGGAGGACTCTGCAGGACGGGGTGCTAATGCACCCCTGGAAGAGGTGCTGAGCGGGGAGGGGGCTTCCCAGCTGCAGGTAAAGAACGATTATGCATCTGAAGGGCTTAATGGAGGAATCTGCTTGCTAAAAGGAGCAAGGAGGTAAGGGAGAGCTGGGTGTGTTGGGGAAACCCCAGGAAGTTCAACACAGCAAGTCGTTCTTCAACAGGTGGGAGGAGAGGGGAGGCTGAGGCTGGAGAGGCAGCAGGGCCAGCCTGTGTGGGTAGAGGGTCCTGACGATGGAGCATGAACGAAGAGGTATTTTTCAAGGAGGAAAAAGGTGAGAATCCCAAAGAGGTTCAGTCCCCGAGTCAGAGGAAGACACCGGGGTGGGTGTCGGACAGACGGACAGACCTACAACATCAACACCAGTGCCAGCACATTCTGCATGACCTGGGGCAAGGGACTAGTCTGTAATCAGGGAGTAAAAAATCGCAAAATCACACCTCCATCCTCGGGCCGCTGTGAGGACCAGTGAGGTAAGACGCACAGGGCTGGGCAGGGGGGCGGGAAGGAATAATCCGAGAAGGGAAAGAGGGAAGAGAGCGGAGGAAGCCTTCAGTCCATGGAGAAGCTTTTCTGGGAGCTTGGAGACAAGAAGGAAAGTAGGAACGAAGGAGGGAGTGAATGCACCAGGAATATAACCCACCATTTGGCATTTTCTCAAAATACTGCAGCAGAGATTGAAAGGACTGAAATTGCTTTTTGCTCATTTTTGGCTGGTGGCCTGAGATTTCTTTGACTTTAGGCCAAGCTGTCATGGGCCGTGAGTGACAGGTGGAAGGCCTGTTGCCTGGCCCACGCAGGCTCTTGGAAAAGTTGCTGGGGTGAGCTCTACAGTTACGGGTGTTTTGAAGGCTAGATTGTCACAAGGGCCCCTTTCTAGGATACGCATGGCTCTGTGTTCCCAAATCCCTCATTCATCCTGAGATCTGCCTCCATGGGGGAGAAACGTGACTCTCACTCAACCCTGGGGCCTGGGGCTGTCTCAGTCTCTGACTTGTAATCGCAGGAAGAGAACCTCTCCGCTTTGCAGACAATACAAGGCCTCCAGCAATGTGAAGAAAAGGCAGGTATCTGGTGAAGAAAGGATATGTCCAGAGGGAAGCAGAGAAGCTCACTGTCCAATAATTGCATTCCACAGCTTGCTGTTTCAGCAGCTGGAAGCAGTCAGGAGCCTGGTTAGGCTCTTATTCAATAAGACTCTTGCACATGCAAGATGAAGGGAAATGCAATTTTTAAGACAAATTTTTTTTTTTTTTTTTTGGGGGTCAGAGAGTGCTCTGAAACAGAGACTTGTATGGCTTCAGGACACCAGCCTATATGGAGTCCATTTAATTCCTGAAACAGGACAATAACCAAAACTGATTTATATAACTTTTTTGGGTATTAGAATGTTAATAAAATTGTTGTCATGAAAACGAATAGCTTGTATTTTTATTTTAACCAGTCGCAAGGCTTCATCCCTTTTTTTAGATTCATTTCCACTCACATAAAGAAATTGCTTTATCATCTAATTTAAAAAAAAATCAGTTTTCCTTCCCCTCTGCTCTCCCCACATGGTGATTTATTTTCTCTGTAGAAAAATGTTAATAACTGGCCAGGAATCTAAATGTTAAAAAGCAAAGAAAAATGAAATCTTTGGAGATGAGAATAAGTGATCGATTTTTTTTCTTTCAGAGAAATTGCCGCTCCCAAAAGACACAGAATATGGAAAGGAGAAACAAGTAATTACAGCTCTAAATTCCTTTAAAGCAGCCACTCAGCCCTCTCCTTCTCATCTTTCTCTTCATCTAGACATTCCTGGACATTTCTGGAGCAGTTCCGGATGCCAGCCCTCACTCGGGAAACTCACAGATCAGAGCAGATGACAAATATTTTTGGCCGATCACTGGAGTGAAATGAAAGAGCAGCCTCCGGCGGAGACAGGTGCCAGGAATTGCCTAGGCAAGAGCACCAAAGATAAGGAAGGAAAGGGAAGGCTTCACAGAGAAGGGCGAATTCGAGGAGGGTATTGACAGGTGAGTAGGAGTTGTCTAAAAGGAGAGAGGATAAAAAGACATCTGTTGTGTAGGGGAAGCTGAATACCACAAACTGAAAGGAAGCAGAGCTGAAGAGAGTGGCTGAGGATGGACGGACGTGTGCTGAAGACACATACAAAGCCAGTGCAGTGCCTAGATCTTATCTTGTAGGTGACAGGGTAGCACGAGAAGGGGTCCTTTGCAGGGTTACAGAAGTCATTTTGGCTGCAGTACAGAAGATGGACCAGAAGGGGGCCACCCTGAGCTGTGAGGCCAGTTAGGCAACTATACCACAGGGGTCCAAGCAAGAGGTGAGGAAGGCCCACACCAGGGCCGTGGGGATGTGGATGCAGAAGACAGGCAGGTGTGAGACACACCTGGAAGGCGGGATCAGCATGACTTCATGACTAGTCCCTTAGCATCACATTTTCATGCAGAGCAGAACACACAGAAAACTGTAGGCCGATAGCCAATTGGACAATTCATGCTGAGAAGGAAAAACAAACAACAAACAAAACCCCCAAACCCAAAAAACCAAAAAGCAAAACAAAACAAAACAAAGTTTAGTGGGGGATGGAAAAAGGTGGGAGGTATCTAGTAGAGAATAAAAAGGCGAAGGGAACTAAGGAAGAGGTTAAATTAGCGTCAGTCTCAGGCTTGGAAGAGGTCTTCTCTGATAAATGGTTTTCTAAAGCCTTTCTTTACATACTTCTGTTGATGGGGAGCTCATTACCTATAGAGTCAGGCTGTTTCACTGATACCCTTGGTAAGCACCTTGAACCATGATCTTTTTTCCTCTGGCTCCATATGTACAGCTTCCTTTGAAATTTTTGCTTTCAGTGGCTCCATGACACTTTTTGGAAACCTATTTGATTTAGCAGGAAGGCCTGAGCGATCAGTCCTCCCATCCTGCTGATGGACGCTCCTCCACCAGAGCGTGGTGGAGTCTGAGAAAAAGTCACGGTGCACGCACACAAAGTATGGAACGCGTGTGGTTGCCCACTGCTGCCCCTGGCCACGGGTTTTAAGCTACTTTGTCCGCCTGAGTCCCCTGCCCCATCCATCCCGTCACAAAATCACCAATACCGTGCTGTTGCAGCCGGCAAAGCAGGCAGACAGGTACGTAATGCCATCTGCCCCACACACTGGAGTGAAGGAATCGGTCTGGCATTCACAGTTTTTATTGCAGGGCGAGTAGGGGTCCAGGGCCGAGCCAGGCGCTGAGCTGGAAAAGAGAAGAAACATGGAACCCATCAGAGGAAGGGCGACCTCTGTTGGATCTCCCCAGCGACAGCCTTCTGCCCTCTGCTGTGATGACGTGCCCAGCACCCCTTCCTTCTCCTCCTCCGACCTCACCCCTCCTCGTCCCGCAAGGACCAGCCCAGCGCCACCGCTGAGAGCCATACATAGCAGTGCCAGAAGTGGAAGAAGCCTCTTCTTTACCGTTTGCGCCAATGTGCCCTCCAGGCTGGAGGCAGCCCAGGCTCAGCTCGGGGCCACCTCCTCCGTGTCACTGCTCATGATTCCTGCAGCCTCAGCCCGCTCCCCCTTCCCTGACCCCACACCACCACCAGGCACAGCCGGACACCGCCTTCTCCCCTCCTCGGGTCAGTCCTTGTCTCTGCCTCCTCCCAGCACGCAGCAAGCCTTGTGATGCTTAAACACCACTACCACTAGACTGGATTCAATAACTATCATCTGTTTGATTGATTCGCCTTCCTGAGAAAAACAACACAAGTTATTTTAAATTTCCTTTTGTACCTTTAAAGGCACAACTACCTGAAGCACGCAAACTGCAAAGGGTTAAAGGATGGAGTGGGTGTGTTTAGCTCTGTGAGAGAGAAACCGTCTCCTTCCAGCGCCATTATTTTCAGCTGAGCCTCGTAGGGTTCATAATAAGGACGATGACGGTGGTATCTGACAATTTACATGCCAGGCACTGTTCACGGTACTGCGGATACTGTTGTACTTATTCTCAGTGTGACCCCGTGGGGTTGACAGAGAAGGAAACTGAGGCAAAGCCAGGCTGAGTCACCTGTCCAAATCTATCTAAGTCGTACATGGGAGAGCTGGGGTGGGGAGGGTGGGGATTGGAGCTCTACCAATTTGGGCAGAGTTGGCAGTGGGATTGTAGGCTCTGAGCCTTTTTTTTTTTTTCTTTTTTCTTTCTTAATGAAGAAGAACTTCATTATCGTAAGACCCTGTGCTTTGAACCACTACAAGTTTACTACTTGAAAGTTGGCACAGAAGGCTGGCGGTCTTTCTCTCCAAATGCTGTTACTTATGGCATGCACACACCAGAAGGTGCCACATTTGGGAGGAGGAGGAATGGGGGCTGGGCTGGGGTGGGGGGCAGAAGAGACCCTGGCGGTGGTAAAGTGCCTGGGCTGTGCATGAATATACGGACAACTGCCCCCGCCTGTGTTCTCCCATTCAGCCTGCTTGACCTTGTCAGTTGGCAGGTAAGCCCGGCTCTCCTGTATCTTTGGGATACAGGACTACCGGAGAAAGCCTGATGGCCTGCCTGGAGGAGGAGACCGGCGTGAGGAGGAACTGGTCTCCTGCAGGTTGACTCTGCTGCATCCCTGGATGCTCTAGACTGATCCCCAAGCAGTTTCAGATTCTCACACAGAAAAGGGGACAGCTGTTGATGCTGGACATGTAAGCGCTCTCCACAATTCCCTCTGGGGCAATTCTGATTGGACTCTAGGCCAAAGTCTTGGGATAATAACTAGAAAAAAGGTGTCCCATAAGAACCAACTTCCTTCCCTTCTCCCTCTTTTCTCCTTTTATTCCCCACCCGCTTCTCCTTCCCATACTTATCAACACCTACTAGGCGTGAGACCCTATAATTACTATGGGAGCCTGATGATAGCTTCTGATAATTTCTGGAATGATTGAAATCTATTGTCTTTCATTTAAAGCTGAATTTTAAGGGGCACCTGGGTGGCTCAGTTGGTTGAATGTCCCACTCTTGATTTCAGCTCAGGTCATGATCTCAAGGGTCGTGAGATCGAGCCCTGCGTCGGGCTCTGCGCTGGGTGTGCAGCCTGCTTAAGGTTTTCTCTCCCTCTGCTCCTTCCCCCACTTTTCTCTCTCTCTCTCTCCCCGCTCTCAAAAAAAAAAAAAAAGCTGAATTTTAAAATAAAATTCATCTGTATTATCTATCTTCAATCATTCCTAAAGTCAAATGCCAAAACGAGCGGAATGGTCTGAGCTCTCCACCCAAAAGGTCCATTTGACTCTTCAACCCCGGGAGGAAGATACAGAGGCATCATCAAACCCTCCACTCATGGTCACCACTTGGGACAAAGAGAGCTCCCTGATCCGACCATGGAGAATGAGTCCAGGCATCCCTGGGCTGGCAGGGGTGGGAGCGGACATTTCTGGGACTTACGTGTTTCCATAGGGAACAGTAACCCCAGCCACAGGGCCCGTGTCACAGCCCAGGAAGAGGAAGGAGACATAGCAAGCTGTGGACACCAGGTTGACGAGCATGGCCATCCGAATGGCCCCGAGGGCAGAAAGACTGAGCTTCTTCACCAGGAGACCGCCCAAGAAGATCCCCAGGCAGGCACATGGGATTGCAGTCATACCTGGGAGAAAAACAGAGGGGCGGGAGCCATTAGTGGGGGAAGTAGGGCCCATCGACACAGACAGATGGGTGCCAGGCAGGGGGCCGAGCCCTGCGCGGGCCAAATTCCCAGTGACCCCCACTGCAGTGCCGCCTCCTCCAAGCTGCCTCCAAGTCTCCATGAGGGGGCCTTATTTCTGCCCTCCGGAAACTCACAGAAAACCATGGGAGATGGACGTGGAAACGCTTAGTTATTGGGAGTCCAAGTACATACGCCGATCTGGCTAAGTAAGGTATCCTCATGGGAAAGACACGGCTGATGTGGGAATCACCATGAGACAAAGACAGACTGGGAACACGCACGTGCTCTCTGTGCATTTTTGAGGTGATGTGAAAGGGGACTCGAGATCATTTGGGGATTTTCTCCCCTTTCCTCATTAGCTGAGGAGGGCTTCATGGAAGGGTCTGGTGGCTGTTTACACAAAGGTCCCAGCACTCACCAGCCTGTGGAGACAGCATTTTAACCTGCTCCCAGACCTCTTGGGAAGGAGCATCCATCCAATCAATATGTTTTGTAGCTCTTGGTGAGTAATTGGCATAAAAATTCTCCCCTTCTTATAAAAAGAACATCTGCAAGGCAGCAGGGATCATAAACCTGTTATTTCTGATTCTCAGAGACTCAGTCCTGGGGTTCCAATCTCCTGTTTGGCTTTGCTCCGTCCTGATTTGCTTCATTTAAAACTTGCTTTAAATTACAGTGCATCATTTATCCACTGTGTAGACTGTGCATGGCCAATTTCCCAGTCTAGGTGGTCTCCTCCTTGCCAATCAACAGACCTCTAGGTCAATCGACTACATCAACCAGCTGGTATGTGCTAAGGGAATGCAAATTAATTTTAATATTAGGCGAAGAAAAACATAATCAGGAAGGCTGAGCTCTGCAAGAAAATAGCACAAGTCACATTTAAATAAAACACGGGATATTTCTGTATTATCTGATGCTCTCGGAATACCTATGCTTGATTTTCTCTGGTTTTTGGTATAGAAACGACCTTCATGGTCTAGCCCCCATGTGCCCCTCTCTGCTCACCCCTGGCCCACGGCTCCTCCTTTCTCTCCCTGGGACAGACCAAACCCATTCAGAACCCCAGGCTTTGCACCAGCTGGTCCCTCTCCTGGGACATTCTTGTACGGCATTTCTCCTTGGCTGGACCCACACCCCCTTTAGAGATGCCTTCCCAGACCACACCATCTAGAGCAGTCCTATACTCCATCCAGGGGCTCCCCCATCATTCCTCACCCCATTATCTTCATGGTTCTCCCCATTATCTGAAGCTGCCTTATTCTTTTTTGGTCTTGTTTCTTGTTTACTCTCCCCCTCCTCAAATGCAGCTTCCCCGAGCACAGGAACCTTTTCCATACTCTTCAGTCCAGCAGAGTTCCCTGTGCCTCGCACAGAGTGGGCCCTCAAGGCTTCTTTTTGGGGTGGATGAATTGGCCAGCAGGCTGGATCTGTGTGCATGAACACTGGTGCGGACATGCCCACGCCCAGAGAGCAGTCTTATGCTTTTGTTTCACTTCCTAGCGGAGACCGTGGGGAAGCATCACCTAGTGAGGACGTAACTATGGCAATAACAGGCTTTCGGCGCCTTTTCTCCCAACCCGTCATCAGGCTGCTCTCTTCCTCCCCGATGCGTGTGCAGCCTTGGCATTCAGTTACCAGAACTTCCCCTGAAACTCCCTCCTCATTACGTTAACCTATGCAGATTGAGCCCTTTTTATCGTCACACACAGATCCACACGTAAATCCATGCCATCGGTGCCTTAATCGTCTGTGCTGCTCTTCTCCGGACCCTGCCCCATTTGTTGACTTCCAGGGTGGTTCAGAGGCCCTGTGCTGATGCCGCGGGGTGACTGCATGGGCCCCATGCCCTGGGTCTGCAGGAGCCGAGCACTTTCTGATGCGAGCCTTGCCTGGTGCTCCCGGGGTCCGTCTCTGTGCCCTGAATGCCCAGTGCCAGCCCTGTTGCAGCCAGCCCTCCAGGGTCCATGCTCATTAGAGTGAGGCCCCGAGCAGGACACAGGGAGAGGCCATGCATGCATGCTACCTGTGTGGACTGCCGGACAGACGGACTGACAGATGGGCCAGCAGGTGGCCTCTCTGCATGGCAGGAGAAGGTCCTCCCCTACCAAGCACTCTGGCAGACAGAGTCACTGGGAAAGAAACAGGTTCGAGAAGGCGAGATTGTTTTTTTGACCTTCTGGCCTGAAGACTATTGATTTGTTTGTCGATAGAACTGTTCTGAAATAGAACACAGCCCCAACGTCGAGGCAACCGCGCAAATGTAATGAGAACGTAAGAAGAGCAGCACGGAAATGAGGAGGAAACGGAGGAACCTGGGCTCCTGGAGGGCGAAACCAGAGACACCGCAGGTATAATCAAGAACTTATGACTTTAATTATAAAGAGACCCGCTTTACCCTCTCCCTGCCAGACAGGTACTAGAGGGCTGCCTGCATTTTGCTAATACTTCTTGGAGGTGACACTTGACAAAAAAAAAAATAAACAAATAAATAAAAAATAGGCTTCTGCTAGCCTAGCAGTTCCCAAGGAGATGCTATGATCCAGCTGTGTCATCGTAGTAGGCTTTTAATTTTTTTTTTTTTTTAGTTGAGATATATTATGTCCTGGGAAGTGTACAAAGCTTAAGGGAACAGCTGATGAATCCTTGCATCTGTAAACACCCCTACAACCACTGCTCAGATCAAGCTTAGAACATTTCCAGCAGCCCAGGAAGGCTCCCCGGAGGCTGCCCACCTCCCCCTCCCAGAATGATAGTTCCCATCACCATGGCCTCTATCACTTTAATTAACTTTTCCCCCTTTAAACTCTTACAAATATGTCCTCTTTTGTGCCTGACATCTTTCAACTCTGTCAGATTCATCCGCATTGAGGCAGGTATGAAAATGCTTGCTTTCTCATGCTGTGTGGCAGCCCTGTATGAACATTCTCTAATTTATTTACCCATTCTCCCACTGACAGACGTCTGGGCTGTATCCAGTCGGGGTCATTATGCACCAGGCTGCTCTGAACGCAGTTACATATGCAGATCGTAAGGAGTGGACTTAAACATTCATTTCTGTCAGGTATATGCCCAGAAGTGGAACGGACATATCCCAGCATAAAAATGTTCTTTCGTAAGCACTGCCTGGGAACTGTCCAAAGTGCTCACACCACTGGGTACTCCCAACAGCTGCTCATGAGAGTTCCAGGTGCTCCACATCCTCACCAACACTTGGTACTATCAGTCTGGTGGATGCGCAGTGAGTGGTATCTCAGTGTGGTTTTAATGTGTGTTTTCCTGATGACTCATGATGGGTTAGCACCTTTGCATTTCCTAATTGGGGCCGTTAGGTGAAGAAACAGGCAGTGTTGAAGGAGACCTTTCCTCTCAGCAGACAATCTGACCCCCTACTTACCAGAGAAGGTAATTCATGGGGCTGGAGCTCTCTCTCAAATGCAGGGCCATACTAGCCGTAGTCTTAGTGGCCAGACTCATGCCTCTCTCCTTCTCTGCACTGGCAGGGCCTATGAGCTCTTCTGTCGAGGGCTGTCCATCCACATCCCACTCTTTCCTGCAAATCCCCTTCTGCTGGCTCTTTTCCCTCCACTTAGCAACCTGCTCATGTTTCCTAGCCACGTCCCATCTCCCCTGCTCCCCCTCCATGGACACACGGCCACCTGCTGGGGCCCCTCTCCTCTGCGCCACGACTGAGCTTCGGGAAAGTGTCCTGCAGCCGCAGACTACTCCTTCCTTCTTGTGGGCAGTTCTCCACATGGAGCATGGGCTCCCCAAGGCCACGTCTGGGACACAGCTCTTGACACAGGACGTCCCAATGCTTGCAGCTAATGGAGACACCCAGCTCTCATTGTGTGTGCGCACTCACGCAGCTGCCTGCTTCCTCCTTGGAATTATCTCTTCCTTGACTCCCATGACCTGTGGATTTCTTTCCAGACTTCCCCTCAGATTCCTGTGTTTCCTCATGGTTGGGACTCTTCTCTTTCAATTCACTTTCTTGCTATGTAACTTCCACTCCCGTGTCCTCCACTACCACCCGGACATACACAGATGCAACAGAACCTCTATCCCCCGGCGGGGTCTCCTTGCTGAGCCCCCACCAAGTACTGGACACTGCAGAGACACACCATGGGTGTCTCACACTCAGCAACTTCAAATGTGACCTCATAATCTCCCCCACGGATCTGATTGTTCTCTTTTTCCAGGTTTCAAAAATGGTGCCACCAGCTGTCCGAGCCAGAAACATGGGTGAGCTTCTCGACTCTTCCAGCTCCCTTATCAGTCATGAGGCCACTTTCCTAACTCCACGTAAGTAATGCTGCTTCCCTTGAGGGCAAATTGGTTTTCCTTACCATGCCAACTCCAAACAGTGGAAGCAGATGCCCGTAGTCTCCTACTGAGAAGGATGGTAAAGCCATGCTTGAGCTTAGGGAGAAGGAGTGCCGTGATCCATTAATTATGTCTGCCATGGGCAGGGGTCAGGAGGGGAGTGTATGGCTCCCAAGTTCTATATTTGCTGACTATGTGTTTCATGCTGCCAAGGATATTCTTACTTTTTTATGTGCCTGACCAAAGCCTGCTAACCTTTCTGGGCATGTCTTGATTTCCCTCTTCCTTCATCCTATCTTCCCCCAAATTCTGTCCCTCACACCAATCTACTGACCTCCTGGCCTGTCGCAATGCTTCTTATGTACATTTTATATTTTAGCTCTTTCTTATCACATCCCTTTGGCAAATTCTGCTGCAAGAATAGACTTTGAAATTCCTTCTGCACACAGACCCCAAGAATACTGCTGCTGTAGGAGCAGCAGAGTCTGGGCTCTTTCTCCGGTGGGCCTCGGTCTTAGAGGGTTACCTGCATGCGAGCAGCCTTCTGTCCTCCCGGGGGGATGGAGGAGCAGACTCACCGAGCAGCTGGTTGGCAGAAGAGGTGGTAAGGTTAAACTGCTGCTCCAGGTACTTCCCCAAGAAGGCAGCGAAGCCAGCCACCACTGCAATCTCCATGCAGGCGGCCAGGATGATGCAGGTGAACACAGGGTTCGAGAGCAGGTGCTTGGTGACCTTCGGGATCACTGCAGGGAGACAGAAGCAGAGGGTTACACACTGCACTTCCAGGCCTCCTGCCGCCAGAGTCCCTTCTTGACACACTTTTGCCCATCTCAGCAACCAGCGTCGGGAGTCACCCAGTTCCTCAGGCCTGAAACCTCAAACCTGTAAGTCACCCACAAAGTGTGGAAACTCTGGCTTCAAAATGTATGCTCATATTCTGCCAATTAAACAGAGAACTACTGTAAAAGGAAAGACTGTATTGTGCCTTTTCGTAGTTTACTGGAAATACCAAACTATTTTATAAGCAATGACAAATTATTTCCATCCTCCCCCAAAAAAGTCTGGGGTTTATTTCTCAAAGGAAAAAAATATAATTATATATCATAAAGTGCGCTAAAATGATGTTATATCAGTATATCTAAGCATATATATCCA